TAAAATTGAAAACACTAACAAAATTTGAATAATAAATTGATCCATGTTTTGTAACAAGGTATTACAAATTCACTGTGTTATTTAAGAAAAAAAGGTAAGCTATGCTTAGTGCCAACAGTAAGTGGCCATTCGTAAAGCAGTGTTTTAGCTTTTTTGTGCTAGCTTGTAATTTAAGAAAAAAGTGCTGTTTTTTGAGATGAAAAACATGGTGTCATTTCTTCCTTCTTCCCACGTTTTAAAGTTTCATCTTATATCCAATTCCCAAAATATTGCATACTTACCTAAGTATATATATATATTTTTTAGGTGTGCTGTGTTTGGGGAATATTTGGAAATTTAAAGCATGATTTAAATTTTTTTAAGTGAGCTGTGACACTGGAAAGCTCTTCATTTTTATTCTTTTAAAATAGATTTTTCCTATTTATATATGTAAAATTGTAGTGTATTTCTTTTCACCAAACAGTGTGTGGGACATTCTTTATCACTGTTTTAGGATCACCTCAGGAAGTGTCATTACCCAGAATTCCTCACTCTCTGCTTTGAGACTTTTGACTTTATCACTATACTTCTGCTTGGTGCCATCTTGTCAGAGTAATATTTGATGTCTGTGATACGTCAAGAATTATCCTAGGATAGAGATTTTGAATTTAAGCACAGATTTCAGATGTTACTGCTTTAAAACAAATCAGGGATAACAGTTAAACTTATGCAATGACATTTAGAGGTAACCAGTGTTGATATAGACAACATAGCCTAGCTTCCTCCCCAGAATTGCTTTTACAGCTAACTCTGATATTAATTTAGGATAGTTCATGCCTTATCCTTGCTAGGAAAATGGAATTGATGGTAGGTAGGTGCCAAAGTGCTTTTCAAAACGTTATTATATTAGAATATAATTGGATTCTTCCTCAAATTTATATAGGCCAAAGTAAATCATTAATTTCCTAAATTTTAAGATTACTGATCAACAAATAGCCAGTATTATGCTATCTACTTTTGTCAGGTCATTTCTAAATCCATACATTAATTTTATAAAATAATTTTTTACATGTCACTAGCAGGAGCCTCACTGTGAATGTTATCATCAAATGGTTATTTAACCACACAGTACACACTACATTTTACATATGATATGCACTTAATCTCTGGGAATAATATATTATTTATAATAAGACATAGGTCAACAGGCTCTAAGCAGGGAGGGAAAGAAGGGTAATAGCATTGCTGTCTGTGTGCCACACACCATACAGAACTGCTTGTGCTCTTGGTCACATATGTACCCAAGGTTTCATTGTATTCCTAAGAATTCCCATTTCAATGTTGAGTTCTCTTTATTTCAAAAAGTACATGGTCTCTCAATTTCTTGATTTGGTTTTGCTTCCATTTTGAAACAAATCAAGGGAACGTATTGAGAAACGTGTATACAGGAAAATTGTTCATCTCCTGAAGACTAATTTCTGTCGTAAACATTTAACCCTCTTTTTTAGTTTTAAAAAAAAATCAAAACAAAGGGATATTATGATGAATATGTTTGGCTTATGTGAGCACTAGAGATAAATTTTCTAAACCAGTTATTCACAATATAAAATGTTTTCTCTTGGTGTTAGAAAAAGTTTTTTTTAGAAATCCTGGGTATTGTACTTAACTCTAGCTAACCAATTTTAAAACTTGTATCCTTTTGAGAACTATGTTAATAGACGAATACTTTTTCTAAGCAGTAAAATAAGAATGTTCCAGTGACTACCTGTCCTGATACCTAGTCTTGTTAAAACTTTTTTTTGCAGGGCATTTTAGTGTTTGGTTTACAGTCAGCGCAGATTGGGCAAGTTAACAAAAGTTTGAGCTAGGGATAGTGGAAAAAAGAAAGATCAAAGAATAAGAAAAACCGTGACTTCTTTGTTTTGGGGTAAACTGAGACCCCAGTAACTTTTTCCTCATGTGTATGGTGCTCCTCATGATTAGTCTTGTATTTTGCCTTTCTGATACCCATCAGAACTGCTGCTCTAACTTATACTCTTTACCTTGCTCAGATCTCCATGTGAGGATTGCTTTATGATCAACTGCCATAGGACTGATGGATTAACCAGTGTTTGGCTTTATTCGAAGTCTATGCCCTGCCACAGCTCTTGTATGTATTTTAGATGCTAGGAAGTTTTTAGCATGTGATGTGTGATTCTTGTTTGGATGTTATTACAAGTACCTTATGAATTCCAGAACAGAGACTGTGCCTCAAAATTGTCTGTCCCGTGAACTTGCACTATCTTTCATGGTGACATTTTGAAAATACAATCAGGAAAAAAACCAACACCTTGGAATTTAAAAATAGAATCATGTTATGAAATTTTAAGAGAATCTCTCCCCCTTTCCTCACCCTTAACATCTACATTTAAGTAAAACGCAGGTGGTAGGGAAAAAACCCTGGCCAGATGGTAGTGTAGTGGATTAAACTGATTATTGTTTAAAAAAACAAAAAATGCTTTGCCACAGATATTTTCCAGTTTCTCTTTTTTATCTTTTTTAAAAATTACTTTTTAGGAACATTTGGTATAATGTGCATAAAATTATGTACCGATTTATGAGCAAAATGATCCAAGTAGCATATTGATTGAACATCATTTACCTCAGATATTCAACCAGCAGTACGTTTTTTATGCAGTCTCAACCCATATCCTATTTGTTACCTCTCAATATATTGGTAAGCGATTATTTTAGCTTTACTCTGTATTTCTTGTCAGTGTTTTGGGCACAGGTTGTTGTACTACTGTCAAATCGTACTTGCTGTTTTTTCTGCAAGTATTTAACGAAAAGCTTAAAAAAAAAAAAAGACCCATAAAACCCCACCTTGGATAAGTGATTGTTAAATATTGTACAAATAAAATGTATGCTATCCCCATTCCACCCCCAGGTTAAATAAAAAAATGAATATGGTATGATTGCATATGCAGTTTTTCTTTAAAGAGGGGACTAGTAGCTTTGTAATGTATAGTGAGGCTTACACGTTGAGATTTCCAAGAATGAAACAAGGGAGATTTGTTAGTTGTGGCACTTCCCTCCATTGTAGTCAGAGCAGATTGTATTCCCACTGAAGTGTATGTTGGTCCTGCCAGTTGTGGAAGCCAAAGGCTAGCTGGCATTGGTTACCTTGTGTTTTCATATGGTAACAGAAATGTGGCTTAGGAAATACCATCATCAAGGATATAAAGTACACTTCCTGAACATGTATCTAGTTTACCAACTGAATAGGTAAGATTTGTATTCTGGTATCTTGACATAGGGGTAATTAGTGCATCAGGGAAGCTAACTTTCATTTAAATATTTTTTTTATGTTGTAAAGACTTTATCCCATGGCTATCAAAATGGGGGTAGAAAAGCTCACAGTTCACACCAATTAATTCTGTTTTCTTAGGGTAAGGGTGAAGGATGGGGCAGTACTTAGGTTACGTTGGTTGGAAAGAACCACCAAATTAATATGCAACCATGGTGGAACCTGCATGGAATACAAAAAGTCTGAATTGTTTTTTACCATGTGCTCTGCAAAACATTGATTCTTCCGGAAGTTAACAGATGTTATATAATATTATGGTACAGTAAGTTTGGACTAAACAGGTTATAATCCCTCAAAGCCTTTCACATCCATTTGCATGTAAATCTGGGAGCCCCCCACTCCCATCCTGTTTTTGGAGGGCCATCTGATGTGAACTCCTGAGTAAAAGCACTGAAGCCTCTGACACTATTCCTCACCTGCTTATCATCAATCTGATGACCCCAGGAGACACTCATTGGTTTTTGTTTTGCTGTTAAAAACCTACATTGCTTTTAGTGAGTATCTTTAAGCTTGTAAGTTTATTCATAGAAGTTTTCACTAGGGCTTTTCAGTTTTGGTTTTTATTCATGGTTTAAGCAATTTGAAAGACAAAGTTAGTTAAAAAGAATTTTTGTACATACATTTTAGCGTCTTTGTACTAGAGAGTATGTAAAAGGGAACATCAACATCCCTCCTCCCCTGCCAAATGTCTTTAGAATGTAGGCATGTATTTTTCACTTTTATGACTTTTCCTAAACCTATTTTTTTTTTAATTTGCTTTATAACTGTTTCATGTTTACCTCAATCACTGAAAATTAAAACCCACCTTAGTTTTTTGATCTGTATACCTGGATGTTGATGTATCTTCTGTAGCTTACCCATGGAGGCAGATGAAAGCTGTCAGCCTTTTGGTGGTATCTTAAGCAAATAAACATTTGCATCCCTTTAATCAGTTCATCATGTTACCCTTTAAAGCAGACAGTACTACCCTAAGAATAGTTCAGGACTTTTTAAAAAAGGATAATTATAGCTGAAAATGTGAAATCCTTGCTATATATTGAGACATTCCTGAAAAGTAAATGATAGTGATCTCAAAACTTAGAAGGCTTCACTTTTTTGCATGGGGGGAAAGGCTACATATGCAAAAGAATAGGTTGTAACTACTTAAGAACTACTTTTATGCAAAGAAATCTTGTATTCCATTCTATGTCCAAGACTTCTTAAAAGCCAGATAAATTGTTTATTAGGGCATACTTTAAAAAATACTCCTGTCTTACAGTGGCATTTGGTGTCAATCAAATCAGGGTCTGTCATTCTTCTCCTGTGTGATTTTTGACACTGCCACTGCTGTGTTATTTTCTAGTCTATAAATGACAGTACCTAAATCTCATAGGGCCTTTGACAGATTGTAAGCTACACAAAGGTAGGGACCCTGCCTTTTGTAAACCTTATGCCACACACACAATAGGCGATCAAATGTTTTTAAATAAATGAACTCCTTAACATTAATTAACTAATTAATTAATTAATTAACATTATTAAATTTCTAAGGTCCCTGGGTGGCACAAAAGGTTTCCACTTGACTATTAACCTAAAGGTTGGTGGTTTGAGCCCACCTAGCAGAGCCACGGAAGAAAGTCCTGGTAATCTGCTTTGGTAAAGGTTACAACCAATAAAACCCTAAGGAGCAGTTTCTACTCTGTAACACATAAGGTTGACGTGAGTCAGAATTGACTCAATGGCGATGGGTTTTTTTAAATTAAATTTTATTTTAAACATGCCAGTTTTAGTTCATGGATCTCTGAATTGATAAGGCAATGTTCCACTGACATTTCCACATTCCTTAGGGGTTTATTTTTTATACAAATAGATACAGCTAACAATATCAACACTTCCCATTATTTGTGGTAGTGGTTTTCCAGGAATTTCCTAACATGCTTGTTAAAAAAAACACATTCTGATTCTTTTGGCCTAAGGGGTAGGTCCAAGAATCTGCATTTAAAAAAATCGTACAAGGGATTCTGATGCAGATGGTATGAGGACTACATTCTGAGACGTCTAGAAGATGCTGTTCAAACTACTTGGTCATTCTCTTATATAAGTGAACCATCCTCTGGTGCAAATTGGTCAGCCGCCTTAACCAGAAGACCTAAAATTTCCATGTGTACAGAAAAAAAATGCAGCATCTCCTACTGGGCCAAAAGATTAATCACTGCGCATTGTTTATTTATTGCTTTGGCTGCTAGGTTGAAACAAACTCTTCAAATGTACCACATAAATACTTCAGAGTTGTTAAATAAATATATGGTCCAATCCCTAATGTTTATTCTTTTGAACTGCTACTTATGACATAATCTAAATTATAAATCATAACAGTGCTTATATTCAAAAGCAAGATACAGCCAAGATGCTACATGTACAAGTCTTCCATAAGTAAAAAAATACATGTTTATAAATATAATGTATTAACATATCTTTTCAAAAGACAGTAACAACTCTTAGTTCTTCAGAGAAGTATGCCTGGAATTCCAACATTGAAGTCACTGGCTAGTATTCATAACCAGCTTAGTGAGGAGGTTGCCCACTGCCTAACATCTGTAGGACAGTTGGGGTATTTCTGTAGAGCATTCATAATTTGAGTATTATCCAAAAGTAGTTTCATCAGCTGGTACTCTTTCTGTGCATTTATTGGAGTTCTTTCCATGGGCTTTATTAATTCTAGCTGTTGTAAGTGTTCAAAAGCCTGAAAGATGAAAGAAACAGTTTAGGCTGAATAGGAGAGGAAAGTAACAAAGTTAACCCAAGGGAGAGTTAGTTAGGGTTTTGATCAGCTGTGGAACAGAGTGCCAGGAAATGAAACTTTTATAGAAACCACTAGGGTTCAAAACCAACTTTCATCAACTTCATAAAAACTTTATATACCACGTAAAACACTGTCAATTCAAAGTTATCTGTCCCTGCACTGTTGAATGTAATCAGAACAAACCTTATGCATGATATGGCTTTTGTTTCCAACCTCATTTTATACCACATTTCCTCCTAGTATTTCAGTTAATGAAGGATTTCCAGTTCTCTAAAAAACCTGAGAATCTAAAAAGACCTAGGTTACTCATATTTGCATTTACATTTTGTCTACCTCTGTAAGACTTTGTAAAGCTTAAGAGTTTCAGCAAAGGGGAAAGCAGAAAAGACCCCTAAGAACACACAAGGCTGTTCAGCTGATCACGAAAGGAAATTATGGTATGGGCATGCAGGAAGAGGGGATAGGCTGATTCCTTTAAGGAGCTTGGCTGAGACTGCTACAACCTGTCAGAAAGTCCCCTTCTTGTATCTTCCTCATTTTAGCAGGGCTCTTTCCTGTCTGCTTCCTCTTATCCCTCATATTCATGTAGTGTTATCTTTTCTAACCTTGATTACTATTTTAAGTGTGTTATTTAGGTATGAAAAAAAAATCATGATACACTAACCATTAAATATTAGTACACTGAAATAGTTTCCTGAAACTTTCTATTCTTACAGCCTCGTGGTGAAAAATACCATTGGAATATGCTCTTTATGTATCAAAAAATTCTTCTGATGAAAACAGAAATAGCTCAGATACCATTCATCTGTGAAAAATGAGAAAAAACTGAGATTTCAGATGTTGGGTTGAATAAAATTGAGGAGATTTAAAATATTTCTAGGCAGCAAAATGCTTTCTTATTTAAAATATAGAAATTAGGAACTGCAAACTATTCATAAGAAGTTAAATGCTTAGGTAACCCTTTCCACTGTTAAAACTCCCACAAACTATGACTCAGACAGATCTAGATGTTAGGGGAAAAAATATCTCCAGTATGCTACTTTTCCTGTTGCTTTGAAGAAAGGGCAATACAATCCCGTGTACTCATTTTTTTCTTGCTATAAGAAATAAAATTTTGACTACTAGGGGCTGTAAGGGCTGCCAAAAGACAAAGGGGTCTATTTCTTTAAAAAAAGAAAAAAAAAAATTTTTTTCCCCATAAAAAATCCTGTAAAACTGTGCTGCCCAGTAAGGTAACCACTGGCCACACACAGCTACCCAGTACTTGAAATGTGATTAGTGTGACTGAGGGACTCAATTTTAAATTTTATTATATTTAAAATCTGATACTTAATTTGATAGGAAAGTTTTATGTTTGGAACAATATAGGAATGTAAATCTAGTTTTTCAGCAATAAATTTTATGGAAACTAAATAAAGATCAAGTATTTCCAATGAATAGTCAGTAAATTAAGATGTGCTATAAGTAATAAAATACACACCAAACTTCAGCCTTAATACAAAAGAAAAAGAATGCAAAATACTTCATTAATAATTTTCTATTATTGATTATACAGTCAAATAATTGGACATACTGGGTTAAATAAATTATAAAAGTTAATTTTTTTTTCTCCTTGTTTTGTGGCTACTAAAGTTACATTATGTGGTTCACATTATATTTCTAGTGGACAGTGATGACCTGGAGTTTTAAAAACTCTTGCCTCACCCCCCACCCCAGCCTCCCTCAAATATAACTTTCTCTGTATGCTCTACCAGCCAATGAGACTCTGTCCTTTAGTTTCTTAATGGCTCTTAGCTGCATTCTGGTCGCCAATCCTTGGACTGGAAAGGTATAGGAGTGTATCGATAATCTGTCTGACACACTGTAATGGAACAGTTGTTTTTCAGGCTGCAAGTGCTATGAACAGACAGCAGAGGGCAGTATACCTTAACAAACTAAAACAACTGGTTGTTTCTTCAAAACCAAACATTTTTAGGTAATTTGATTTGAAAAAAAAAAATCCTATGATAAATAACTGAATTTTAAACATTAGCAAAAGAGAAACATCTTATGTATAAAATGTTGTTAGGTGCCGCTGAGTCGGTTCCAACTCAGCGACCTTATGTGCAAGAGAATGACACACAGCCTGCTCCTGCACCACATACAATTGGCGGAAATGTAAGAACAAACTCAATCTTACCTTCATGACAACAGGTTTCTCAAAATTATAAATGGAATGAGCCTTCCTTTGAACAAACTTCTGAAACTCTGGGTAGAAAGCAACGACATTATTACCTTCAAATAAGTAGTGGGGGAAAGTCAGAAAAAGAAACGACTGAAGTTTCATCTCACCATTATAGACCATTTGAAAATTAAAGGGCTCCTCTTCATGGATATCGTTTAAATGTTTCATCGCTATTATAAGACAAATTTCCAAGACTGACAAACCTATAGTAAAAGGAGACGACGAGCTGTAGTTTACTTAGTGATACATAACACTGAAATATATATACTCAAAACAGTATATGGTGAAAGATCATGGTTTTCAGGGGTGGTAAAGGTCAAGATGCCCCCAGGTTCAAATGTGTTCAGTGACTCTTATGTATATAGTTGTAAGCAAGTTACCTGACCTCCCAGAGCTTAGTTTTCAAACCTACAAAATAGGGATATTTGTAAACTTAAAAGCCAATGCTCTTCAGTAGCATGTGATATGTGAGTTATGCCAACAACACAGTCCCATCTAACTTCCAATGAGGCAAAGGAGGCAGAGCTTCAAGATTCTTTCACTTTAAATGGCTACTCTAAAGGGCTAAGTTAGGGCTGTATGAAATTATGGGTATAAGAGTATTCTGTATATAAAGTGCTATAAAAAAAAACCAAACCTGTTGCCATTGAGTCGATTCCAACTCATTGCGACCCTACAGGACAGAGGAGAACTACCCCATAGGGTTTCCAACGAGTGGCTGGTGGATTCAAACTACTGACCTTTTTGGTTAGCTGCTGAACACTTAACCACTGCACCACCAAGGCTCTAGAAAGCACTATACCCAGTATTAATTACAATGAATTTAAAAAATTATTCCATTATCTAAGTTCAAATTTATAAATTCCACAATTAAAAAAATAAAGAGAGCAGGTTTCTCACCATGTACAACATTTGCTTTCGAGTCCATGCTGCACAGCTGACTTGCCTCCATCAGATCTGCTGTAGTCATAAATGGATGTGATGCTGTTACACGATTTAAAGCAAGCATCTAAGGAAATGCAGATCAGAAAAATAATTACATATCTACCTGAGCATTTTAGAAATATTACTGAGCAGAAAACTTCTTAATTTGAAGAGTCTGTTCTTATGAGAGTAAATATTAATGCTTGGAAAAAGTATTCTCTCATTTTTAGCTCTGTTAAAATAGTTATTTTAATTTCTATGCCACGTAACTGTGTATATACAAAGCATTAAAAAGTTCTCACTGTACACTCTACCCCTTCCCACTTGCATATTTACATTTCCTCCTCATCAACAACAACACATTTAAGAGGGATTAGGGCAAAAAGAAGAGACTAAAGGCAAGTGAGAATACTACTCAAAGCCCCAGACAGAAACAACAAAGGCAGATCTATGCTTTGTATAAAATTCTTTTAGGGTCCATACTAACTTCTAATACTCTAATGGAGTCCCTGGGTGGTACAAGGATGAATTTGGCTGCTAACCTAAAGGTTGGTGGCTCAAGTCCCACCCAGAAGTGCCTCGGAAGAAAGCCCTGGCAATCAACCTGTGAAAAACCAGCCACTGAAAACCCTATGGAGCACAATTCTACTCTGACACACACGGGGTCTCTGTGTGTTGGAACTAACTTGAAGGCAACTGACTCCAATATCCTAATGTACTGACTCCAATATCCTAATGTATTCCTCCTTGCAGCCTGAATAGATAAAAGGAGATGATCTCACAAAAGAGCAGGAAGCGAAATTGAGCAAAGCTATTAAGGGACTGTAAGCAAGAAGCAAAATTACATCAGGGCATCTAACCTATATTTTAATACTTAAGTTGCTTCTACTAAGAGCAGTACTGACAAACAGCAATCAGCACTGATATTTCAAGTTTTTATGGGGTTTAGAAATTTCAGGCTGAAGGGGAAGACTGTTAATATAAAAGCAAAAAGAACTTTTCAGAGCATCCTCTGCAACACAGGTAGATTGCCTTTTTCTAGTTATTGCCTCCTTTGTGTATGTTTCCCCCAAAGACTTGGGAAATCTGCAAGAGACGGTCCTATGGGGATGTGGGGTGGGGAGTGTTGGGCAATAGCTGCAGAATAATTAGCTTTAGGGGTTATGATTAGGAAGAGTTACACAGGGAGTTTCTGGAGTGCTAGTAATGTTCTAGTTCTTGACTTCGATGGTGGTTACATGGATTCACTTTACAGTATTTGTTAAATGTACATTACATTTTCTATGTATATTCCATAATACAAATATGCTTGTAAGTGCTGAGGGGATGTGGAAGGGAGGGCAGTTATACATACATATTTTATAACTATAAATCAAAAAAACTGAACCCACTGCCGTCGAGTCAATTCCAACTTATAGCAACCCTACAGGGCAGAGTAGAACTGCCTCATATGGCTTCAAAGGAGCGGCTGGTGGATTCAAACTGCGGACCTTTTGGTTAGCAGCCATAGCTCTTAACCACTGAGCCAGCAGGGCTCCTTTACAACTATATAAAATATGAAGTTATAAATATACTGACAGTATAAAAGAATCCTCTTATCCTGTGTCTTAGTTATCTAGAGCTGCTATAACAAATACCACAAATGGGTAGTTTTAACAGAAATTTATTTTCTCAGTTTAGGAGGCTAGAAGTCTGAATTCAAGGCGCAGGCTCTAAGGGAAGGCTCTCTCTCTGTCCACTCTGGGGGAAGGTCCTTGTCTCTTTTCAGCTTCTATTCCTAGCTTCCTTGGTGATCATGTGGCATGTATCTTCCCCTCCATTTGTGCTTGATCTACTCATTTATATCTCAAAAGAGATTGATTTAAGACACACCCTACACTAATACTACCTCATTAACATAATGAAGGCAACCCATTCCCAACTAGGATTATAACAATAGGTATAAGAGTTAGGATTTAGAACATATTAATTTTGGGAGAAACAATTCAATCCGTAAAACTTCAAAAGGCTGAGAATCTAGCATAGCCTCTAAAGATATATCTCAGAGCAGCAGGTGAGTGGGGTCTTAAAAAGATTTTCTCTCTACATATTTTCTGTTGTCTCAACAAGGATTAATAGGCAAAAAAAAAAAAAGGATTCTAATAAAGTTAAACAAGTGATGAAGCACATCTGACATACTGATATACTCCATTGAAGTTGTTAATCAGAATTTCAAAGATTTCTTAAATTTGTTTCTTCTAGTAATTTTTAATTACAATTGCTACAATTAAGTACAATTGCTTTTAATTTTTAATTCAACGACAAAGAATCTCATGGATTCCAGCGTGGCATATGCAATACTGAATGCTAGAAGAAGTAAATCAGTGTCTATAATGTTCCCGGGGGAAAATGCAATTCAAATTACATGCAGCCAAAGTGTTGTTCAAGAAGAAAGGCAATAGGTATTTTAAGTATGTAAGATCTCAGGGAAAATGGTTCCCATAAAATCTTCTTAAAAAGTATACCAAAGGATGACCGTGACGCAACCAAGAGATGACAGAAACATTACAGCAAAAGGATTGGCTAGACCAGATGAGGACAGAACTACCTAGAGTTTTTGTGGCCTGAGATGACTAGCATTTTTTAGAACTCAGGAACTCTGAGCCTGGTTTGCATCCTCTGTGGGGAGGTCAAGTGAATCTGCATATCGACTGTATTTAGACTTCTACATTATCAGTTTCTGGAGCAGTTATCCCCTTGGAAGGTGTGTTGAGATCCCTAACTAACACTCTCCCAAGATACTTAGAACACTTCCATGTTCAGTAACCATCAGCTGGCAGAGGGTCAAGATACTCCCCAGTTATAGTCATTCCCCTTATAATGGTGCACAGAGTTCCTCCATTAGTTTTCCCATGGATTACTGTGTGGAAAGCTTCAAAGATCACTCTGAGAGAGATGCTTAGAGATGCTGAATCACTTCTCTATATACCCAAGTGCCTGATGTGATGAAAGCAGGTCCAATGTTCCAAGATAAGCAAGGGAACCCACATCCTTGGAAGCTTGAGTTGGATTAGTCTAGGGCCCAGAGGAAGGGAAGAACATTAAACAGGCAGTCCAAAGGCTTGCCTAAAAAACATGTATGAGAAATTTTTCAAAAATGGTATTTTTTTCTAATACCTGTGCTAACAAGGTGGGCCTGGCACCAGGGCAGGGCCACTGCCTCAGGCTCAGGGGGCAGAGCATTGAGAGAGAGTATTCTCAGGCCTTGAAGCCTAACGCAATTTGCTCCGCTGAGTTTCAGACCCCTTTTTCCTTCCAATTTTTCCCCTTTGGAATGAGAATGTCTATCCTATGCCTGTCTCACCATTTTATTTTAGAAGCAGATAACTCGTTTTCTATGTTTACACATCCACAGATGAAGAGTTTTTTTGCCCCAGAATGGGCCATACATACCCAGAGTCTCACTTATACCTGATTTAGACTATGAGATTTGGGACTTTTTGAGTTGTATTAGATGAGATTTTGGACTTATAGTTAATACTGGAATGGATTAAGACTTTTAGGGATGTTGGGATGGGGTGAATGTATTTTGCATATGAGAAGGACATGAATTTTCCGGGGCCAGAGAGCAGATTGTTAGCCCCGCTAAAAAAGATACATTGAAGTCCTAACCCCTGGCACCTGTGAATCTGACCTTACTTGGAAAAGGGTCTCTGCAGATGTAATCAGTTAAGATGAGATCATACTGTATTACACTGGGCCCTAAATCCAAAGACTGGTGTCCTTAAAAGTAGGCCATATGAAGACCCAGAGATACACACAGAGGACAAAGACATAGAGAAAAGAAGGCCATGTGAAGACAAAGGTAGAGAATGGAGTGATGCAGCTATAAGCCAAGGAACAGCAAAGATTGCTGGCAATCACCAGAATCTAGGAAGAGGCCAGGAAGGATTTTTCCCTAGAGCCTTCAGAGGGAGCATGGTCTTACAGACACGTTGATTTTGGACTTCTGGCCTCAAGAAGTGTGGGAGAACAAATTTCTGTTGTGTTAAGCCACTCAGTTTATGGTCCTTTGTTAGGGTAGGCCTAGGAAACTAATGCACCACCCAGGAAACTAGCCCAGGTTAATGTAATAGACACGTTAGCCATTTTATGTTCAATCGTACAAGAATAACAAAATCCAAAACTGCACCCAGAAAGAACTCTCCTTAAAAGCAGAATCCACTTTTCATATAGTTAGCTGTCTTTCTAACAAGTAACACAGCTCCTGGATCAAAGCCATCATTCAAATATTTTTTTTTCTTTATTGTATTTTCAAAAAGCTAATTTACTAATTTAAATAAGATTGTCAGACTTAGCAGGTAAAAATGCAAGACATCCAGTTAAATTTGAATTTCAGCTAAACAATGAGTAATTTTTTACTCTAAGTATGTCCCATGCAGTATTTGGGACATACTTATACTAGAAACTCTCTGCCCCACATTAACCAGGGCCCAGGTGCTTAGGCTGAGCAGAAGAGCTTGACAATCCTCATCCTTCATTCCCTTACTAGGTGGGACACCCAGGTCTCTAGCAGCTTTTTTTTTTTTTTTAATTATGAAATATTTTTGACTTACAAAAAGACAACAAAGAATAATGAATACCCATGACCACTTTCCTAGCTTAAGAAATAAAACTTACAGAGATGAAGCCCCTCCCTTCTCTGATGGGATTCTCGACTCTTTCCATACAAAACAACCTTGTATACGGTGCTATTACCAGTATGTACTTATACTTCTATTTCACATGTATGTATTCCTAGATAATACTTTGTTTTTGTTGTTTAGGTGCTGTCGAGTTGGTTCTGACTTATAGCGACACTATACGACAGAGTAGAATTGCCCCACAGGGTTTTCAACGAGCAGCTGGTGGATTTCAACTGCCGATCTTTTGGTTAGCAGCTGAGCTCTTGACACTATGCCACCAGGGCTCCCCAATATAGCATAATTTTAAAATTTTATATAAATATCATATAGTTTTGCAACTCTTTTCACTGAACATCTATTATAAAAATTTATCCACACTGATATGTCGATTCCAGTTTATTCATCTTTTTCTACTGTACTGCTTTGTATATAGCCACAATTTAATTATTCATTCTCTTGTTGATAGTCGTGTCATTTCCTTTTTCTGCAATTATAAACAAGGCTGCAATAAACAATCCTGACATGTCTTCTTATGCATCTGAGTTTCTCTGGTTACCTCATTTAATAAACTGCTCTCTAAAGTGCCGATGGATATTTACATTCCTAGCAGCAATAATTTTTTTTTTCCATGGAGACCAAAGTTTATTGGTGGTTATCAGTGGCAAGTGGAAGGGGGGAAGGGGATTTATTGCTTAAGAGGCACTGAGTTCTGTTAAGGGTGATGAAAAATTTGGGAACAGATAGTGATGATGGTTGTACAACATGGTGTACATAATGTCACTGAATGGTACACATAAAAATGGTTGAAATGCAAATGTTTTATTATATATACTTTACCACACACACACATTTTTTCCAGCCACTATCACAGATTACACCTGAATCCAGAAAGGCTTTTTCTTCTGTTTATACAACTGTATGTAAAATACTGTGTCTACTTAGTAAATCGCAAGCATTTAGTACTACCTATTTGTTGACTGAATATAAAAATGGCTACATGTATACAGTGCTCACCACGGGCCAGGAACTGAACTCTTTAAGGGCATCAAAAATCAAAACCAAACCAGCTGCCATCGAGTTGACTCTGACTCACGGCAATCCCATGTGTGTCAGAGTAGAACTGTACTCCACAGGGTTTTCAATAGCTGATTTTTTGGAAGTAGATCACCAGGTCTTTCTTCTGAGAGCAATAAATTTTAACAGCCACAAACACCACTGTCATCAGACATATCCTTTGACACCTACTGGACTGGCAGAAAAAAAGTTTAACTGTAGTGTTAATCTGCATTTTCCTGGTTTCTGGAGAGGTTGAACATCTTTTCATATTATAGGCCATGTGGGACTCTATTTTGGTGGATTGCCTGCTCATATTTTTAGCTCTTTCCTTTCCTGTCTTTGTCATATTGTTGAAGCGCTTCATATATTATGGATAGTGTTGATAATTACATGCATTACACATATCCTCTTCCAATCAGTCTTTTCATTTTTCTGAGGTATCTTTTGGTGTACAGACATTAAAAAACTCCATTATGAAGTTTATCTATCTTTTCTTTGTGATTTGTATATCTTGTGTAAGAAATCTTTCCCTAACCCAAGATTACCTGGTTCATGTGCTAGTCAATAAATGGTAGCTGTTATTATTATTATTGAAACTGACCAATAAGAAATTATGGAGACCAAAACTATTTTCTTCTTGAAAGGTATTTTTCATGGGTCAGTGTTAGACTAATACTAAATCTCTTAGTGAAGGAATTTCTTTAATTTTCATAAAAATTAAGTGCTTTTTGACTGATAATATCCTTTAAGCTTAAAATATAATTATTTGATGAAAGAACATGACCAAGTGAGATTTACTCCAGGTATGCAAGGCTAGTTCAACATTTGAAAATCAATCGATGTAATCCACTATAACAACAAGTTAAAGATTAAAAAAAAAAACAAAAACAACTGTATGATCATATCAATGATGCGAATAAGCATTTGACAAAATCCAACACCAATTCATGATATACTCTCAGCAAGTTAGGAAAAGAGGAGAACTATTTCAACTTGATAACAAGTATGCATAAAGAAAATCTATAGCTAATATCATATTTAACAGTGAAAGACTGAATGCTTTCCCCGTGAGATCAGGAATAAGGCAATGACGTTCACTACTTCTTTTCAACACAATACTGGAAGTTCTAGCCATTATAATAAGGTAAAAAGAAAAGAAGGTACACAGACTGGAAGAAAGAAAACTGGTTCTATTTGGAGATGGGATTGTATACATAAAAAATGCCAAGAAAATCTATAAAAAAAAAAGCTCCTAGCACTAATAAGCAAGTTCAGCAAGGTCACAGAATATAATTTCAACATATAAAAATCAATCACATTTCTATATACTAACAATGAAGATGCAGAAACTGAAATTAAAAGCAAAATACTATTTAAAATTGCTGCCAAGGAAATTAAATACTTAGATATAAGCTTAAAACATGTACAGGATCTCTGTGGTAAAAATTACAAAATCCTGATGAAAAATATCAAAGGTGACCTAAATAAAAGGAGAAATGTACATGTTCATGTATTGAAAGACTCACCGTAGTAAAGACGTTCATTCCCTCCAAATTTATCTATAAGTCTAATGCAATGCCCATCAAAATATCATTACCAGGTGAAAGAGAGTGAGTGACAAAAATAACAGTAATACAAACCAACAGCATGTGTAATGACCGTAGGTTTTTGCTGACATTGAAATGCTTCTGTAGTATATCTCGTATACTTCTATCTTCTGAGAGACACTAAAAGGAAAACAAACAAACAAAAAAACCACTTCAAAACAGAATTAAGGAACAACGCAGTTTAAAACCTAAATATAATCTTGTGCTTCACTGGTTTGTGCATATGATTAATTCCACATGATATTTCTTCATTATGTAAATAGGTGCTGGTTTTACTTGTAGAAGACTAAAATTAAAATTCTAGTCTATTTTCTTCTTATCCCTTTACATTATTTCAAACACAAAGATAACACATGGTCCTTCTTACTCCATAATTTTAGTCTAAAAAGGGCAACTGTACATACAGTCACGCTAGTGGAATGAACAAAATGCAGCACAAAACACAACAGAGAAAGAAAGTTATTATACCTGGGGAAACAAGGTAATGTATGGACGAAGAATGCCATGTAAACAATGTAAGAAGACTGTGGCATACTGAGGGAAGAAGAGTAGTCATGTACCCTTGGGTTTCAGTTCTTGGAAAAGGGACTGTATGGAGAGACAAACGCAAAAAAATCTAACTGGACAAAATTGCAATTGTTCATACAAGAGACAAAGAGGGCCTCAATTAATAGAGCAGTGCAAAGAATTAAGACATTTATAGAAGACATATCTGATGAAGAATTAACTGGTGGGAGGAGGGAAAGGAGGGTTTGAGAGGGGAAGAAAAAAAAAATCAAAGATGATATCATGAGGGATAAAAGTCCCAGGAAAAGTGAACCATGAGATGTGGCCAAGAAGTTAACCTTGGATTATCAACGTTGAAGAAGCAGATGGAAAAACAGCAGCAAAAAAAAAAAAGACTGAGAAAGATACAAGACTGGAAGACAATCAGTGATCTAGAAACCAAAGTAAAGGAAAATTCAAGAAGAAAGTGGTGACCAACCATGTAAACTACTCTGTCAAATTAAGATATTATGATAAAAGGCTAAGGCTTTGGAAGTTAGGAGATCAACAGGGCCCTCTGAGAAAGCAGTACCTAGAAGAGTCAAGTTACTGTGGTGAATTAGGATTAAATGGAAGGTGAGAACACTTGGCCTTGAAGAGTAGATAAAAGAGGAGTAAACTGACAACTAGCAGAGCCAAGAAATTGTTTTTAGGATGAAGACTGACCTAATTTTTCAAAAATCATCTGTAAGGGATAAGAATTCTTTTTCCTTGTTGGGAGCGGGGGCGGGGGGGGGGGGGGACAAAACTAAGTATTTCTTATTTTCTAGATCTAAAACTGTGTATCTCCACTTTTTCCGCTGTAGAAAGATCCAGATTTCAGGAATTCAGATAAAATTTCATGCTCTCAGTAAATACATTATCCTAGTTAGGATTCCCACTCCCTTGCTATAGTCCTCTCTTTCTATCTTAAAGGGTTTGCTGTAACTATACATGCCTTTTCATCATAAATAGAGTCAAATACATCCTTTGAAATTAGGCAGGAAGAACATAAAATAATGCAAAAAACATAATAAAAACCTTTATAAAACTGAAAAAAAAATCTTAGCTCTTCCATAGTTTTCAATATGGAATAAATTTAAGAAATATGTGGCTAAATACGACAGATAAACTGTAGTCCTGGCTCCTATACCTTTGACTCTTATTAAGTCACTTATAAAGTAGATGTAGTAAAATCAGAGCACTTAGGAAAACTAAGCAAAACAACTTGGGACAAAATAACTGATGGAACAATTTTTTTTCTGTAAGAATTCAATTATTTTTATTTGGCTTTCCTTTACATGATGATGCTTCAATAGGTTAATCTTCTACACTCTGCCTTCCTGCTTACCTCTGTATTTTTAGTGGGCTGACTCCAACTCTCCTTCTTTCTGAAAGCTATCACCTTCTTGCTTCCATAACTACTTAATCTGCTCAAAAACAAAACAAATAACCTCTAAAAAATCTGTAGGTGATTCATTAAAAAACAGAAAAACTGGCTAACTCCTCTCATTACATTTTTAATTCCACCTTGATTCAAACACTATAAACGATTTAAGGATAAGGCTATTATTAGTAACCAGTGACTGGATCCCTATTAAGTTCAACAAACTATCATAGACACTGAAGAAATAAATAGATCTTGGGTTTTGAAACATCACTGAATTTCATATCATTCTGAATTGAGAGCTCCCTTATGGTTGGCTAAAGAAATGATGTAAAGGAAATAAGAGACTGACATTACTCCTTATAGAAATATGGAGGATTCCCTGAAATTAAGTAGCCCTCCCCTTTTATTTAGGGAAGCTGATAAGTTTTCTTTTCACTGATCAGCATATGAGTTTTGAGCAGCAGTTGCAGAAGCAAGTTTTTGTGTATAGTTTGCTTGGGCAGTGCTCTCTTCACAGATTCTAGGCAGAATGTTACAGGACTACACTGGTACCTCAAGATTCATGTTCCAGGGATTACGCAGTGGCACCTGTATATTTGCCAGCTCTCCTAGTGAGTTATTGATAACCCTTCTTGCTTTGTTAGCTAAGCAAGGAACTGAAGACAGTAAGTAAACCTTCCTTGAATTTATATGTAGTAATTTGAGGGTTTTCTTTGAGGAGAATTAGCTATGATCCTCCTTTCAGAAGGTCTTTTTCAGAGATTTCCTTATATTGCCAAGCTGAGATCAACAGACTACCTAATTACTTCACTCATTTGAGGTAGGGCTAAAATAAACATTTAAGTTAGGCAGAATGTCCAAGTTCAACCCTATCCTAAAGATCCTTTTTCTACCTGGAGGATGTGAGATTTTTTTTTTTTTATGAGATTCCATAGGTGACCTTAGCTATACCATTGCTTTTGCTTTAACCTTGCTTTAAAACAACTAGCTGGATAGTCAGCACTGACAGAAAAGATAGCTCCTTCAATGCTGCCTGCCCCTTACAACCATGGACTCTGGCCATGGTGCTGACACATTTTTCAAGTGAGGCTCATTATTAGCACACCAAGGGGAGGTAGCACAAGATGACTGGGAAAAAGAAAATATTATATAACTAAGAGACATAAACTTCAGCGGTGCTAGTTTTACCTTATGAAACATAAAGGCAAGACTGTTAAAAAGATGATAGGATAGTGCTCACACTCATTCCTACCATATGGTTACAATTTTCTGAGTCATCCGAAGTCATTCTTTACCAGTAACTCCTTTCATTTCCTTTCTTTACATAATCACTCTCGAGACATTCAAAATGCAACATAACTGGAAAGGAAGGAAAGATGGATAATGGTACAGTGCAACCTGGGCTATGTAGTCATCTTAGGAAAAGTTAGAGCAGGGATGGAAATAATAAAAGCCTTGGAAGAGTACAAATTTCAATACTATAAAAGACTGGCTCTGAATCTAATACAGACAGAAAAACACACTGTTGGAACAAGACATTCAGGTCAGGAGTTGTTGAAGGTGAAAAGTCTGCAAGTCACTGAAAAATGGACACAGAGGCTGAGCACATGATTCTCATTCCAGATCTAGGTAAGAAACAACAATTTGGGACCACCAACTATAAAGAAAGCATTCATATGGAATATAATCCTACCATTAGATACAGTATCAAATAAAGCTTGCCTGAGCTAACTGATATATCTGAGTCCTAGGCAAGACTAATTTGAGGAGGTGGCTGGAAGGGAGAATCTACATCTAAATATCATGGCACAATATCAAAAGTTTAAAGTCAGTCATTTATACAATGATGTATAGTTAAAGGAGGAAGAACACTAGGAATTATCAATCAAAACAAAGTGAAAACACAAAACCAAGAATAATATGTAAGGTTTGCACTCTATGTAAAAACAGCAACAAACTTAATATGTATATAAGGTCTGAAATGTTATACACCAAATGATTACTCTGTAGTAAAAGGAGAGCGGATAGGCATGAAGTTAAAGAAAATTTCCACTTTTCACCACTTATTACTCTGCACTGACTACATTCTATTTAACGAACTTTTGTGATTTAAAAAAAGAATGAAATGTGTCAAAATTAATAGTGCTTTAATGTGCATACTATATCTTTATAATCATAACAAGAAACCTCTGTAAGAGCAAAATAAATGCAATTTTCACATTCAATTCTGTATTGATCTTTAAGATTTTATAATCATTACTGCTTTAACATAAAACAATCTTTTTTCAGAGTTGGTGAACAGACTCTGCAACCCTAATCTAATTATTCAGAGAGCTAATCACCCTCACTCATTAGTATTTAATATATAGACTAGTTTTTTCCAGTTCTTTCAAGACTAAGTTGGTTTTCATGGAAACCATGTTTTTGAAAGATTCTACCAAGTGCGATTTTTTCCAGTAACACTGTTTTTCAATTATGTGGTTACACACACACACTCTCTCTCACACACACACACGCACACACGCACATGCATACAATTTGTATTATTAGTTTCATGCCACAGTAACGCTAGAAGCTTTGTTTACATTTTAATTGCTTTCAAATGGTATATAGCAAGACACATAAATTAACATTATTGCCTTTGTTCCAAGTTACCTGAATATTCTCATTCCACTTCTCAGCAAAAAGCTTGTCTGGAAATTCTGCAGGCAGAGATAATTGTTCTTTAAATATTTTAAGATACTGCGGAAAACCAAATGAATTCATTAAGTGTATCTGCCGGTGGGAAAATCGTGACTTCACTCTTTTTTCTAAGAGTTCCAAAATATCCTTAAAAACAAACAGAAACCCCTGTAAGATACATGTTATAAAACATTATACCAGCGTTAGAAATATAAGTATTTTACTTGTCACCACAATTAGTAATGCTTATTCTATAATTATTTTAAAAAAACCTTGAGACAAGAACTAGATGGTGCCCAACTACCACCACCAAATGTTCTGATCAGGAGACATAACAGATGGATTCTGATTGATAGAAAGGGAGAAAACTGTGGAACAGAACTTCAAATTCTTAAACAATCCAGACTTATTGGACCTACTGAGGCTGGAGGAGTCCCTGAGACTATTTTCCTCAAGTTACTCTTTAAACCTTGAATCAAAACTATTCCCTGAAGTCACCTTAAACCAAGTAACAGTTTAGCTCCAAAAGGAAAGAGTATCACTCTTGAGTATTGCACTCTTTTAAAGAATTATCTACGTAAGACCAAATGGACAACAGCTATTCTAAAGCAGGCAAGAAGGCTGAGGGGCAGGAGTTTAAGTCAATGGGAGCGAAACAACTAGAATAATGAGAATGTTGACACGATGTGAAGGATGTAACCAATGTTACGATTATTATGTCTAGAAACTAGTGAATGGGAGCAGATTTTGCTGTGTCTATTTTCAGCAAAAATAAAATATTAAAAAAAATTTTATACAAACTACTGTAAATAAACTTATTCTAGGCATTTGTAGGCCTTGCGATGCCACATCTTTTTCCTACTAGCTTATCCTCAGCTAATCTGTAACATTCTAAGACTTTAGAGTAATTGCTGAAAGTTTTGTGACTGGTCAATATACAGTAAAACCTGCGAAAGCTGGAACCTGCGTAAAGCAGAAACCTGTCAGAGAAGGAAAACGCAAATATTTTCCACTAAAACGAGCAATAGAAAAGTGGTAAGACTGTATTGTGTCAAAGGCAGAAAACTTGGGAGACCTGGAAAAACAAGGCAGTGCTGTGGAGTTCCAGCTCTCACAAGTTTCACTTTAGATCAAGAGTTTCAATAAGGAATTTCATATATACTATGAAAAATTTAGATAAAAAAATTAATAAAATGCAGTAGCACTTACTACATTCATGAAAATTTAAGCATCACCTTCATTGTTTCATTTAACAAAGACTCAAAAATCAGCATGTGTAATGGGGAAAAGTTCTACATAAATTTAAGCTGAGGCCCTCTGGGCAGAAAGAACCAACCACACAAGAGGAAGCTGGCAGGAACATAGCACAGGTGGGTTATTCTATCTTTCGGCTCTTTTATACTGATGTATCTTAAGCTACTTTTATTTGTGCTATTTTCCTTAAGAAGAAAATGGTATCAAGTTTACTGTCTAAGAACACTAAAAACCAACTGATAACTAAGACACAACGTATTCAATAGGCAAAATGTGTACTACCTGCAAGGGCATAAAATGTTTTCTTACATGTAGGAAATACCTCCACAAAGCTGATATTCATTGAAACTGTCCCAGATACCAAAAGCACATTAAGTTGTCTTCCTAAATCGTATAGGTAGGTAGGAATTGGCATTCCTAAATCTCTTCAATAATTAACTTGAGCAATCGTACAAAAGAAGTTACAGTACACAGAGTTATCATACGACCCAGCAATTCCACTCCTGGGCAAATACCCAAGAGAAATGAAAACATATGTCCAAAAAAAAAAACCTTGTGCAGTAATGCTCACAGCAGCATTATTCATAATAGCTAAAAAGTAGATTCGATCCAAATGTTCATCAACTGACAAATGGATAAATAAAATGTGGCACAGCCATACAGTGGAATATTATTCAGCAATAAAAAGAAATGAAGTACTGATTATATGTTACAACATGGATGAACCTTAAAAACATTGTGCTAAGTGAAAGAAGTCAGTCAGAAAAGACCATATATAATTCCATTAATACAAAATGTCCAGAATGGCAAATCTATAGAGACAGAAAGCAGATTAGTGGTTGCCTAGGTCTGGGGAAGAAATGAGGGACTCCTTTACGGACAGAGATGTGAATCTTAATACTAGTTTTACCTGAATTTCAATAATAAAGTTCACACTATGACAGTAAAATAAGGCGAACACAATAAGGCCCGTTGTAGCTGCCTCAAGGTATAGATTCAATGAGTATAGGGCCTTCAGAAAGTCATGTAATAGTGACATCTAGACTAGGGTTTAAAGCATTCTCAAATCCCCCAAGGAGAACAGAAGCCACTATCTACTGTGATAGCTTGATAGACTTAATCCCCTCCATTTCTGGATGTCAAAGTTGGGATGCTATCATTTTGAGCTGATTCCAAGTATTCTCAAAATATGGAAAGAATCTTAAACGTAAAAGAACTATTAGCAAGTTTAACAAAATTATGGTGAGATTATTTGACTGCCCCATTTACTTGTTAATGAAGAAATTAGTATAGTTTGGCTTAATTCCATTGGAGGAAGGAGGTATTAGTTTATAAATATGTGTGACAGTTTTCTTTTTCTCAATCGAAGCTGAAAAGTGGGATAAATATATCAGGTATTGGTGAAATACAACAGCTAACGGAAAAAAGACTATGTCAGTAATTAAGCTGGAATTCTCTATTATAATCAATTTTTTTTTAAATACAAAGACTTACCAATCTACATGTAAGACCAATAACTGCTACTGGAGTCTGTGCAGACTGAGAAATATCAAAAAGATTATAGAGGAGTGTTTGGTTTTTATGATGGGCAAAAAGATCAAATTCATCTAAAATGAAGATCACTGGGCAACTGCTAGTCCGGTTTCCTACAATAAAATAACAGTTTTACATTAACGAGCAATTAAACCAACCTTTCTTAAATTTCCAAACTGTTTACTACATTTCAGTTTTTAAAACTCAATTCAACAAATATATACTGATAACTACTTTTGGATAGGGCACTTAGCGACCCGTGCATTTAGTCAACAAAAAAATTATTCAGAGGATTAAGACAGCCCCTATTGTCCTCAAGGAGTTTGCAGTCTAGTTACTAGACTTTAATAGTTTGATGAAAAATTAAGAAAATTATATAAATAACTTGAGACCATTGTTTTTAACATTATGTAAATATAATTCTTTTATAATTAGAAAATTGATAAAGACCTGTCAACACCTAAATAGAACCAAAACACTTGGGGATTAAAATATAAAGAAAATTACTAATTTATGAACAAAGAGACTGTTTAGTTAGTAGAAATGCAAACTATATCTTCCTATATAAATCATTTTTATAAACAATGGTTAGACAGACTATGAAGTTAAACCAAAGCAACTGTAATTCCTTCTATCCACAACTTTTAACGTTTCAACAATGGGGGAAATTTCAACATGAGATTCTTACGATGCATTTTTTTCACCTAACAATGGAAATCACCTTAGCAGAAGTAGCAATGTTACTTTAGGTTTAAAGGCTTTACGTGTGCACAAAATAGTGAGAAGAAAAGAAAACCTGATAAGGGGAGACTTACTCCATCAGAAAAATAAAACAAATACAGTAACCTAAACGGTTTAATACTGGCACAAAACCAAAGGGACTCTTCAAAAGTCTAGAAACAGACTCCAACAATACAGAAATTTAGTATTTGGTAAAATACAGCATTATATACCAATGGGGAAAAATGGTTTATTTAAAGTTAGGTACTCATTTTACATCTCACACCAAAATAAATTGCAACTAAATTAAGAATTAAAAATATATGTATTAGATGAAAACATGAGTGAATGTTTCATAATCTGGGGGAGAGAAAAATTATCTAGATAAATGTTACCATTAAAAAAATTTAAAACTTTTGTTTAGCAGAAAAGTGCAAACCAAATTTTAAAAGAAGAGAAAAATAAGTGCAAGAATAACTATAAACCCACTGCCACAGAGCTGATTCCAACTCATAGAGACCCTACAGGACAGAGTAGAACTGCCCCGTAGGGTTTCCAAGGCTGTAAATCTTTAACATAGAAGTAGACTGCCACATCTTCCTCTTGTGAAGTGGCTGGTGGGTTCAAACTGTTGACATTTTGGTTAGCAGCCGAGCGCTTAACCACTGCACCATCAAGGGCTTGCTTACAAAATGATAAGTACCACCATTATCAAAATTATGCAAATTAAACTACAGTATATTTTTTTCTATTAGATAGGCAAACAACATGAAATTTAGTATTTATTGTTTTTAAAGTTGTTAAAAAAAGGTATTCTCAAATATGTTTAGAATATGAATAGATAAAACTTAGTGGTTTGGCAATATTTTTTAAACTTGGTGCCTTTTGATCTAAAATTTTACTTATTAAAATTTACCCTAGAAAATATCTGAATGATTTTCTAGGCATTTCTTCCCAATTATAAAAATTTAGCAATAAAAGTTCGTAACTGCTGATTAGCAACTAAATTATAGTACTTTATAAAATGGAATATGAGAATCATAAAAATGAAGATGCCGATCAATATTTACTAATATGAAAAGATGCTCACAACATACTATTAAGTGAAAAGAATTAGATCACAAAACAATATATAAAATATATACATCTGTATCAGTAATATGCTATAGGTGCATAAAGATGAGAAATCAAATATATTAACAGGGATAATCACTATTACAATGCTGGGATTATAGTGATCACTACTGTTTTGATTTTTCTGTATTTTGAGTAATTTTTTTGTAAAAGCATATATTAATGTACAATACAGAAAAAAATAGCTAAAAAATATTATTTTTCTAAGCTCAAATAAGCTAAAAAAATTAAGTATTTTTGATACTTCTAGATATGCTAATATTTACCTTTTTTTAAAGCTTCCAGAAGAAATGAAAGGTTTTCAGCAAAGCTTCCCTGAATAACAATAAAAAAAGATGTTATGACTAAAAGTTTACTGAAATATAAGAATCAAAGAGGGATGTCAGGCTCTCATCACACTGTATCTGTTTTTTTCTAGTAAAGGAGAGTCACTGGCCAGATTCTAGGCTTAATATCTCCAAATTTACAATCTAAAACTTAAATATAAAAGCTGTTGAGTCAACTCCAACTCATGGTGACCCCATGTGTGTTAAGAGTAGAACTGTGTTCCATACGGTTTTCAATGGCTGATTTTTCAGAAGTAGATTGCCAGGACTTTCTTCAGAGATGCCTCTGGGTGAACTCAAACTTCCAACCTTTCTGTTTGCAGCCAAGTGTGTTAACCACTGTGCCACCCAGGATGCATTACTGAAAACGGCAATGCAGTCACATTGGACATATTATATTTTCTGGACAAAATCTGTAAAAATACTAATTTTATTTAAAAGTAGTTTTAGATAATTGCTATATTCTAAACAGAGTCAGAGAACTAGATGCATTTTGTATCTTCGAACGTGTCAGGCTCTTTCAAGTCTCAAATTCATTTGTACAGCTAAAGAAATGACCACTACTTACATGAGATCCCAAAGAAAACGACAGAAGTTTGCTTCAAATACTAGATACTATAATAGTGATTCTCTATTCAAAAACATATTTCAGAATTTATATACATATATATATATATATATAAAATTTGACTATGTTTACTTGGAATACAGCCAGAACATTTTTGGATACAATTTAAATATTCTAGATGGAAATCAACAGAGTAGCAGACGCATTATCCAGATGTTCCAGCTTGTGGGTGGAGGTCCTGTTAAAATATTTTTTCATTAAACTCATTTTTTACTTCATTCAAATTTTTTAATTTAAAGGAACAGCCAACTTTAAACACTAGCATATGTAAAGCAGAAAAAAACCCACATTTGTCTATTTCCCCAAAAGAAATCCACTTGTTTTGTTTCCCAGTGAAAAGAACTGACACAAAATAGTATAATAGGTTTTTAAGTGCTTCCACATATTTTTTGACGATTGCATGCTGTGATATCAACACCATTATCAAGGTACGCTGTGCAAGAGGTATCATCCATAATCTACACAACTGCTCAAAGAGGTAATCTGTTAGGAAATCAGTGGTCAAATTACTCAAAGGTTGTTTGTCTTTTGTCTTTTTGTTGCTGTTGTTAATTAACACTATTACATCTGTCCAACATGAGAGCAAAACAGAAAAGCTCTAGGTTGAGGTAAGTGACTTAGGTTCTTAAATTCCAGTCTCTGTCATTTTATGATCTTAGGCAAGTTAATTAAGCTCTTTAAGCCTCAGGTGTCTAAATCACATAGTGAAAAAGTTAAACTAATAATCTCTATGTGTGATGATCATAAGGAAGCAACTATGCCTTTTATTATTTCACATGAATCTGATATGAATATGTCTATTTAGAAATTGCTAGAAACATCCATCCAGATCAACTGGAAATAAAAAGTCAAACTGAGCCTACTTAACAGAAACTTTCCTTGACCAAGTAGGCTACTAGCTTTGACATTACATTCCGAATAGGCGGTAGAACATTAGATTTACAGAAGATGCATTTTGAACTTGCACTTTAACGACCTGCAGACTATGGAAGGGGAACATATAGTTAGTTCAACTTTTTATAGACAATTATTAAAGAATAAATTTCTAAATGCCTTAATATCTAGGAGGCTTACACAACTATGGCAGTAGAGCACAGAGTTGAGAAGTTAGAGTGACAGCACTCTGCATGATCATAAATAACCAGAAGTGAACTTGGAATGTATATAACCCACCTCTATTGCATAAAAAGTACGAGAATGGGCTTCTTCATTATGAAAATTAGGGCAACTGCAAATTAAGTTAATTGTTTCCCTTAAAGCCTATGAATTAAGTGACAGGTAAAAAGTTTAATAAAAGTTTCAAAACGTATCTAATTATATTGAAATATATATATATATATTTAAATGTTACTGGGGTTCACTGTCCTGAGACT